ATCTGTAGATATCCACTTCCTTTTCTTTGTCCCAGTTGAAGAGGAGTTTAATTAGAATCAAACACAAACTAATACACTGGTATTTTATCATAAAACTCTTTACAAATTAATTGAAGTTGTTTCATATTTAAAGCAAAAAACCCCCAATAAAGCTCTAAATATTTTATTTCCATATTTTCATCGAAATACTGTAAATATTGGATTCATTTTAGTTTATCAGTTAGCCGTTCAAGTATGACCTTGGAGTACATAAAAATGCGTTGAGTTTTTTGATAGGGCAAGAATTTTTGATAGGTTGCCTCTTTTTGACCTAAAATAGATTTGAAGACGCTAAAGTACAAAACTTCATCAGTTTATGTCCTCTTATATGAGTTTGATTATTCAGTGTGATTCTGAAACTGAGTGAATTACTACTCCATTGGATAACAAGGAGAAGTGGAATTCGACTAATTTTGCTTATACATATATTTGATAAAAACTTAAGAATACAAAAAAATTTCCCTATACCGTTGATTTAAAACAAAAGTCAACCAGTTGCTGCTGCATTTTCCTATAAATCTGTGTGTCTCTGACATAATATGGCTCTGAGGGGTGTATAAACCTCCCTTTTAAAACAACAAAACAGTACAGGCTGAATCTGTACTCACTAGAGGCAAATTATTCAGTTATTGTCATGATTGTTGTTGTTAGTGTTACTTTTAACCTCTTAATGTAGAGGAAAAGGTACACTTAAGAAACATACTTGTAGTGGCTGTTTAGGTAAAGTTTTGTATTAGGTAAAGTTTTGATTAATGTGATTCAAATGATGCCATATAATATATACTGGTCTTCAGGATCTGCTCCTATTGAATTTAGGATTTAGTGTTTGTTAATATTTTTAAAATATAGCTATTTAAAATTATAAAACAAAATTCATTTGAAATCTTAAAAGCACTCTATTTTAATGCAAAAAAATGACTTCCTATTGTTTTCTCTTGAATTTTTCAGTATATTCAATGGCTAATAAAAATAGAACAGCTTGTAAAACTTTTAAAAAAGCAAAAATTTTCCATTTTAAATTTGGAAGAAGGTTTGACAATTTTAGAGTTGCCTGACAGATTTATTTTACTATAAAGTTGACTATGATGAAATATCTGATATACCTAAGGTTCTTTGTTTCATTTATTTCACTCCCACTTCTCCAAATAATCGTTCAAGATTAATATACAACATTTCATAACAGGATCTAAACATAATAATAACATTTAAATGCATAATAATACTTAATAATCAAATAACACTTAAATACTTATTACATAATAATACTCATAAAGTACTTACTCTGTGCCGGGATTATGCTAAGCACTTGCACATATTAGCTCGTTTAATCCCTGACAACCTTATAAAGTAATTATTATTATCTTTATGCCATCTTACAGATTAAAAAACTGAGTCAAAGAGAAATCTGGTTATGTGTTCCAGGTTATAGCCGTTAAATGGCAGAGTTTAGATTTGAACCCAGCTATACCCTAGAGTCCACATGTCCAATCACCAGGCGATACCACCATGGTTGACAGTGATACAGGATTGTTGTTCATTTGTTTGTCTTGTGCCATTATATTACACGACTAGAATTTTAAACTTGCTCTACGTAACATCAAAACAGCTAGAAAACTAATAGTTTCAATTTTTAAAAAAAAATCCAGAAATATGAGGTCCTCTAGACCAGCGGTCCCCAATCTTTTTGGTACCAGTGACCAGTCTCATGGAAGACAATCTTTCCCCGGACCAGGGGAGTCCCAGAGGTCCCAGGGGGAATGGTTTCGGGATGATTCAAGCACGTTACATTTATTACATTAGCAGCCACTCCCCAGCACCAAGCATCACCGCCTCAGCTCCTCCTCAGGTTACCAGGCATTAGATTCCCGTAAGAAGCGTGCAGTCCAGATCCCTTGCATGTGCAGTATACGGTAGGGTTTGTGCTCCTGTGAGAATCTAATCTGAGCTCCTGTGAGCTCAGGCGGTGATGTAAGCGATGGGGAACAGCTGTAAATACAGATGAAGCTTCCCTCACTCGCCTGCAGCTCACCTCCTGCTAAGCGTTCCGGTTCCTAACAGGCCACAGACCGGTACCAGTCCATGGCCCACAGGTTGGGGACCGCATGCAGCTCTAGCCCATTCTCTGTCCAGCTCACCCATTTTGGTTAGAATCTCATATGTACGTTACTTAAATAATAAATAACATATACTCAGCAGTAAGAATACACAGTACAACACTTTAAAAATAAAATAATTCTGGCCAACCAGGGATTAGACCTTTTCTTATGGGTCAGTGTATGTTTGACCTAATGAGAGTTTCATAAACTTTGGGGAAAAAAAATGAGTTGTGGCTGAAAGTGTTTCCCTTTACCAGCAGGTGTCACTGTTGCCTCTTAGCTGTGACTGTTGAGCGTGGCCTGCAGAAAAATATGATGGAGAGAAAGAGCTATTTTACTAAAATCTCTGTGAGGCACTGGGTACAAGCAACATTACTTTGGCAAGAATATGAAAAATCCCACAAAAGGGGAGAGAGTCCGTCTCTTTACTGCTAGAAGAAGCACAGTGGATTTCAGGCAACCCAGTGTCCCTCTAACACCTCAGAGGCTGCAGCTCCTGGACAAAGGAGAGGAAAATGTGGAGGCAGCTCCTGTGTGAGCAGCATAGATCCATTCCCATTCCATGCAGCCCGCAGAACTCGACAGGTGGAGTTCATGGGGATAGAAAACAGAAAGCCATGACCACAGGGCGGCAGTGGACAAAACTTGTTTATGAGCACACGTGAGGCACTCTGTATCAATTCCTAGAAATAATTAGGAGAGAATTTGCAGAGGCCGAAGGTCCCGTAGTGACAGGTGGCCAAGAGCAATGGAAATGAGGCTCCCCCAGGGGCATTCTGAGCAGCTCTGCTGGACTCTGGGAATGTAGAAGCAAACCAGACACAGCCCGGGACCCTGTGCTCACCCTGAAGACAGCAGGAAAGTGAAAGTCTTCTGGCAAACCAGCAAAATGTGGCTATGACCTCCGTACGCCTTTATTCCCCAAAGTATCCTACTGTTTCTTGAATATAGATTTAAGATAGAGGTGAGCCTCTGAAAAATTGCCATGATAGTTGCTTTCCTTATTATTAGGGCTAAAATCGTCAGTTATTTGAATGATTTCATAATCAATTAATGGGATATCTGTTAAATTATATTGCCTACAGATGTATTTGTTATATGGAGTTTTAAAAATACCTGCTGCTCTAAAATGTTTACTTATATTGTAGTAAATTCTGTTACCTAGGGCAGTCAAGAAATATATTCTCCTTAAATTTGAAGATGTTGTTTTAGGGTTCATTATGGAAAAGTTTTCTAAGATCAATCAATACACTTTTTAACCTGGTCCTGTGATTTCAGAAGCTCATTTGGCAAAAAGATGTCAGTCCTTGCATCTGAATGTGGGCTGTATGGTAGTCAGATTGGTTAACAGTAACAAGGCAGCTGAAAGGTGACTTAGACTTAAACTAACATTCAAAATCATATGTTGTGAAAAACACTACTTCCCAGGTCACAAGTAGTTTGGAACTAAATGGTGATGCTTGCTTTGTAGAATGTTCTCTAACAGAATAAAGAATTCACTGTGATTGTCCTGCTCTGGCCTAGATCCTTCTCCTGAGTTTCAAACCCATGTATCCCAACTGCCTAAATAACATTACCACTGGGATGTCTCTAGGCATCCCAAACTCATAAAATGACCAGAACATCCATTTAAAATAGGATTTCAGTTCTAGGAGTCTCTTAGATGAATCCTTGGGGTTTTCTAGATATAATATCATATCATTGGCAAAGAGTGAGAGTTTGATCTCATCTGTCCCCATTTGGACACCCTTAATACCCCTCCCTTGTCTAATTGCTGTGGCGAGGATTTCGAGCACTATGTTGAATAGGAGTGGAGATAAAGGGCAGCCTTGTCTGGTTCCGGTTCTAAGTGGGAATGGTTTCAATTTTTCCCCATTCAATATGATATTGGCAGTGGGTTTATCACAAATGGACTTGATAATTTTAAGGAATGAGCCGTCTATGCCTATTTTGATGAGAGTGTCATAAAGGTGTGTTGGACTTTGTCAAATGCTTTTTCTGCATCTATTGAAAGAATCATATGGTCTTTGTTCTTGCTTTTATTTATGTGGCTAATTGCATTTATAGATTTGTGTATGTTAAACCAGCCTTGCATCCCTGGAATAAAGCCCACCTGGTAATGGTGAATTATTTTTTTGATGTGCTGCTGAATTCTATTTGCTAAAATTTTGTTGAGGATTTTTGCGTCTGTATTCATGAGGGATATTGGTCTGTAGTTTTCTTTTTTTGTTGTGTCCTTTCCTGGCTTTGGTATCAAGGTGATTTTGGTTTTGTAGAATGAGTTAGGAAGAATACCATCTTTCTCAATATTGTGGAATAATTTCTGTAGTATAGGTGTGAGTTCTTCTTTGAATGTTTGGTAAAACTCTGAAGTGTAGCCATCTGATCCGGAACTTTTACGTTTTGGGAGGTTTTTGATTGCTGCTCCAATTTCTGAGCTTGAGATTTGTCTATTCAGATATTCTGTTACTTCCTGGGTGAACTTAGGGAGGTTGTATGTTTCCAGAAATTTGTCCATTTCCTCCTCGTTATATAGTTTTTGGGCAAGTGCCCATCAATCCATGAGTGGATTATTAAAATTTGGTATATGTATGCAATGGAATATTACTCAATCATAAGAAACGACAGTGATCTAGCATCTCTTATACTTTCCTGGATTAAACTTAAGCCCATTATCCAAAGTGAGGCACCACAAGATTGGAAGAATGGGCTCCACTTGTACTCGCCATCAAATTGGTACTAACCGATCAACAGTAGGGTGATCACATGGCAGTAATACTCTCCAGGGATTAGGGGGAGGGGGGGTAAACCTGCAATTAAAGGACACGGGGAGCATTGTAGGGGGGAAGGGCATGTCTCTAACCCTCACTTGGGTGAGGCAAAGACATAAAGTGTAACCTTAATGTTTGTACCCTCATAATACCCTGAAATAAAAAATAAAAAAATAAAAATAAAATTGAATTTCAGATAAACAAAGAATACTTTCTTAGTATAAGTGTGTACAGTGCATTAGTATTCCTATTTGGGACATACATAAACTAAACATTTATTCATTATAATTTAACCAGAAATTATAATTTAACCATATGTCCTCCTATATTTTATCTGACAACCTTACAAACTCAACATGTCCAAAGTAGAACTTTTCATCTTATTGAACTAAGCTGAGCTAATTCTCTTTCTCTGGAATTAGGATATGGCACCACCATTCACTCATTTGTCTTTCTCGCCCTTCAAACCTAATCACTCACTAAATTGTTACATATTTGTTAAATTATAACATTTCTTACAATGTAAACAACTCCACCCAGTTTTCTCTATCTCTACCGAATCTCCCCCAACCCCGGTTTGGCCACCATCATATCTTATCTTTGTTACTGCATCGGTATACTTGTTTCTCTACACCACAGCCACAGTGGCCTTCCCAATCTACAAACCCCATTATTCATGAAAACCTCTACGTCAAACTCCCAGATCTCTCTAGGATGAGCAGTTGTTCTGATTTGCCTAGGAATGTTCCAGTTTAGCACTGAAAATCCCATGTCTTGGGAAAGCACTCAGTCCCAGGCAAAGTAGGATGGTGGTTGCCCTATTTAAGATAAAGTCCAAGTTCTTATTTTGGTTTATTACCTTTTATGTCTTCTCTGCCCTCCTAATTACTTCACTAAATGCCATCCCTTGCTTCTTGCCTACTCACAATCTATATTCTAGTCATATTAGCCTTCTGCCAATTAAAATAAAATCTATTTAGTCATTTGTGTCTCCAGGCTTTTGAAAAATATTCGTCATCTGGCTTCCCCACTACCTCCCCTGCTCCCTGTCTATACCACACATCTGCCTGGTTCCTACACGTTGTTTAGGTTTAAATGTAGACATTGCTTCCTCCAGAAAGTCCTTCCTGAAAACTCAGTTTGCTTCAGAGCCCCTCTCACGAGCACCCAAAGCTCCTGGGACTTATTACGGTCATTTCACTTACTGTTCTTTGTTATAATATTAATATATAATTTGTCTTCTGAAATAAATTTTAAGTGTTTTTTCCCCTTGCCATTAGAATCCATAAGGCAAAGGACCATGCTTATCTTGTTGCACCATTTATGTTCCCAGTGCCTGGCAGTGTGTCTGGCACATAGAAATAGGGGCAATTGCATGACAGCCTACTGGATAGCTCTACCTGGCTGTCCCACAGAGGGTTTGGTTTTAGCCCTCTCAAGCTCAACTCCTCCTATCTGGCATCACCACCCGCTCTCTCAATTTCTGAACCTGCTGCTCTTTCTGGGTTCTTTCTCTTGATAAAGACAGTGCATCTCCTGCCCTGCCCAAGACAGGCATCTAACAGGCATGCCTTTTTCATCCACCCCACCGTCTAGCTCCATGCAATCACCATGTTCAGTCGCCCCTCACTCTTCTGTGCCCCGAGTTCACTCACTTCTCTCCCACCACCCTGGCTCTCCCCCATCAGGGACAGTGCGCTAACCACCTCCCATCTGGCATTTTACCTTTTATACTTTTGCCTTTTTAGACATCAGTTTCCACACTGTGTCTTTTGAAATTTCTGCTGACCTTTTCAACTTTATCGTTCTTCATGTCTTCCTTCACGGGCCTCGCTCAGAAGCCTTCCTTGATTATTCAGGCTGGGTCTGGTGTGTTCCTGTAGCGTGTGGTACATACCTGTACATTTTCCATTCACAAAATTGTCATGGACTTGCCCGATGATGCTTTTCTCTTTCCCTCCCTCCAAGGTAAGCTCTCTGATGGCAAAGCCTGCAACTTATTACTTGCAGCACAGTGTGCAGTGCCCAGTGCTCAGTAAATGTTGTAGCATCGGTCAGTGGATCGTCCTTTAATATAGTGCATTCATTGCTTACCAATGAACTAGTCACATATATGCAACAGGGAAAAGCAGAAACATTAACGAGGTTAAAAGAAACATCTATTGTATCCTTTAGAATTACCAGATCTATTATTCTGATTCAAGTGGAAATAAAACTAGCCAGTCAACACTCATGTATGTACAAAAGTACAAAAGACAATATTATTACAAAATTTTTGTGACCCTTTTTTTCTATCTGATTTAAAAGACAATTATATAAATCAATAATTATATATTTGCTTTGATGGGCACACAGTGTATAAAGATGTAATTTG